CCCAGGCTCCTTTTGAGCCATTGATTACTGAATGCTTATGACACGACCATCTCGCAATGCTGCCCTCAACTTCGATTAGCTTTCAACTGCAGAAATGTCGAGGAGCATAGAATCCTGCGCTTCTGGTGCGAGGAAGCTCAATTGTAATGTTTGCCTAATCTATGTGGCTCAAAGTGGAATGGGACGAACTCGCTAATAGAGCAACAGGCGAACCGTCAAAGAAGTTGACGGTGTTACTAACATCGCTAAAGTATCTGAAGAAAATGACTAATTTTTTTTTTACCAAACGATCCCTTGCATTAAACAAGAATACGAAGTTACATATGACCTAGCTCCTGTCGAAGTCAAGCACAAAAATCAAAACCATTACAACCCGTAGGAAACAAAGACAGTGCCTTCTTAGCCACCAGATGGGCTACCCTATTGTTCTGCCTACCCACAAACCTAATCTAAAACCCAGGAAGCGCGGACAGAAGATGACGAATTTCCTCAAAGATTGCCCCACCAGCAACATCAGAGATGCTCCTTGTGTTGACCTTGTCAATGACAACCTTCGCATCCCCTTCCATCCTCATTGCCACAAACCTAAGTTGGCGACACCACCGGATAGCATCCCGTAACGTGGATAACTCAGCTAACATGGGGTTCAAAAGGCCATTATACATCACACCCTTGGCTACCAGCACCATACCCGCTGCATCGCGCAAAACCATTCCACCTGCTGCATGGGACCCCTCACGGACTGCTCCATCAAAGGAACAGATAATTCCTCCCAACGAATCCCCCTGGCCAACAGGCAATACCATACTCGGCGCCATAGCGGGACCTGCACCATCCCTCCTCACCTCCTGCGGACCCTGCAACCACTCCTGTACCTGAAAAAGGAACTCCTGCCGTAGGATAGATGGAAGGGTCTGTAACTCCTCAAAAGCCACCGAGTTCCGACCCTTCCAGATTCTCCATAACAGGCACACCAACCGAACAACACGAGAAACCGAAGTATCGCGTTCTAGAAATTGTCGGAAAAAAATCTCAAAACAGCCCGTAGGAAGACTCTCCAACTCGGCAGCCAGATCCAAAGCCCTCGCTCTACGGGGCATTCCAAGAAAAGATGCTCAGTAGTCTCCTCCCTTGCCCAACAAACTGGGCACCGAGCAAGAACTAGAACCTTCTTTTCCAGCAAAGCCTCCATCGTTGGCAAAATTCGATGCAGCAGCTCCCAGACAAAAAACTTGAGCTTAGGTTGAACAGGTAACCCCCACACCTTGATCCATAGGCCCCGATCCATCGTGCTACACCCAGATTTCCCCGCCCCAGGCGTCCGGGACTTTCGTTCCGCCAATCGATATCCGGACTTCACCGTATATACCCCAGAAGGGTCCTTTTTCCAAACAAGTCGGTCCGGCATGGTCTCCCTAGGAAGCGGGATCTGCAAGATTGCATGAATCGTCTCTGGCGTGAACACAGTCTCCAAACAGTGAGAACACCACTCCCCTGTCTCTGGATCAATCAGCCCTGACACCATCTCCTGTCCCTCCACTGGAGCATCCTCTCGCAATCCTGGGGGAGACGGATGAATTTGTGGAATCATCCCTCCGACATCATCGGTATTTGATCACCATAGCCAACCTGCCAAGCCATGCCCTGTCGAAGCAACTGACAACCAAAGAGCACCCCTTGCCATCCCCATGACGGTCGAGACCTCTTTGTGGTCGAGAAGATGGTCCCCTGCGGAAAATATTTAGCTCTATAAATCTGGGCCAACAAAGAGTCCGGCTCCGTATGAATACGCCAGGCCACTTTTGCCAGAAGAGCTTGGTTAAACAATTCAAACCGCCGGAAGCTCAACCCCCCCTCATGCTTACTTCGGCAAAGTCTCTTCCAAGATATCCAATGGTTCTTTGGACTACCCTCCACAAACCCCCACCAGAACCTCGCCATATGCTTATCTAGCCTCCGGCATGAGGTAGCAGGGATCTTGAAACAAGCCATCGCATGGACTGGCAAAGCGGCCGCCACTGCCTTGAGAAGAGTCTCCTTAGCCGCAAGCGATAAGTGGCGCTGCTTCCACCCCTGTATTCTCTGTAGAAGCCTTTCCTCCAAGAATCGAAAGGTATCCGCCTTTGACCGGGCAACTAAGGACGGGAGACCCAAGTATTTATCCTGAATCCCAATCGCTCCCACCCCCAAAATCTCCGCCATCGCCTGTTTCTCCTCCGTCAGAAAATTCGCACTAAAGCAGACAGCAGATTTCTCCAGGTTCACCTTTTGCCCACTTAGTGCCTCATACTCTTCCAACACCCTCAAGAGATCATTGCAGCCCTGCACCGACGCTTTAATAAAAAGATAGGAGTCATCAGCGAAAAAGAGATGGGACACTCGGGGGGCCCTGGGGCACACACGAAAACCCTCTATTTTCCGTCTTTCACCGTCTTTCACTCGCCTGCTGCAGCAAAGCCGCAAATCCTTCTGTACAAAGAACGAATAGCAGCGGAGATAATGGGTCCCCCTGTCACAACCCCCTAGAAGATTGAAAAAACCCCGAGGGTTTCCCATTCATAAGGACAGAGAAGCTTGAGGTAGAAACACATTCCCGGATCCAACTAATCCACACCGGGCTAAAACCCAGCTTTTTTAAGATTGCAAGTAAGAACGGCCACTCAACTCTATCATAGGCCTTTTCCTTATCAACCTTCAGAGCTAAGTAACTCTTCTTACCCTTCTTCTTAATTTTCAAATAGTGCATTATTTCATGTCCAATTAACACATTATCGACTATCTGGCGTTCGTGAATGAAGGTATTCTGACCAGGTGATACAATCTCTGGTAGAAAGCTCGACATCCTTGCCGCCATAATCTTCGATATGATCTTATAAACCACTTGACACAGGCTAATCGGGCGCAGCTGGCGCATATTCTCCACTTTATCCACTTTAGGGATCAACGTAAGCCACGTGTGATTGAAACTTCGTAAAATACGCCCATTCACAAAGAATGATTGTACAGCCTCCACCACCGATGACCCGACAATGTCCCAAAAGCTTTTAAAAAATTTGCCAGTGAACCCATCCGACCCTGGAGCTTGCGTAGATCCTATTGAAAAGACCGTACGACGAATCTCCTCCGGAGTCACTTCTGCCGTAAGGCTAGTGTTCATGCATCAGTGACCCTCCGATCAATGGGTAACACATTCACCTTGTCCCAAATACCAGTCTCTGCCAATCCAGACGTAAATAGATGTGAATAAAATCCGACAGCCAGATTGGCTTTCGCATCTTCTTCCACCACCCACTCACCATCCTCGGCCTGCAGTCTCTCCACAAAGTTTCGGCGCCGTCTTGTTCTTGTGACAGTATGAAAATAGGAGGAATTCTGGTCTCCCACCTTCAGCCATCGAACTCTGGACTTTTGGCTCCAGTACTTTTCCTCCTCTGCCCATTGTCTCGTGAGGTCTCTCTCCAAACTATTCACCCGGTCCCAATCAATCGGGTATTCTTCCTTTATCGCGGAAATTTCCGACTCTAACGTTCGAATTTGTCGCGCAGAGTTTGAAGTACCCTTCCGGCTCCAATCATGGAGCCGATGGCGCAATTTCTTTAGGCGGGTCCAAAGCTGGTACATCGAAGAGCCGTGGATATGCTTTTGCCACACCTCTTCCACCATCGGTTTCACTTCCGGATTATCCGCCCAACGGGCATCAAATCGAAAGAGGTATCTCGCTATTCTCGTGTGGGCCTTATCCGAAACAATGAGCGCACGGTGTCAGACCCTAGGTCCGTACCATGATTCACCATCGCCTCCGGAAACTTTTCCATCCATCGATCCGATACCAGTGCTATATCCAGGCGTTCCTGAATACACGCATTTCCCATTCTCCAATTGGACCACGTAAAAGGATTCCCCCGAAATCCAAAATCCTGGAGCCTCAGCCCATCCACGAACTCACGAAATAGTTGAGAATGAGCTGGAACCCACGGAACTCCCCCCATTTTTTCGTTAGAGGAAAGGATACCATTGAAATCCCCTACCATCAAGTATGGTTCTCGTAATCCCGCACAGTAATTGCGTAAAGTATCAAACTGGGAAACACGCTCTTGAGCTCGACAACTCAAATAGACAAACACCACCACGACATTTATTTCATTAACTTCCAAGCCGACAGAAATAAAAAAAGAAGAACTAGACAACACTGAGGCACCGCTCTCAGGGGACCACCCTACTACTAACCCTCCTGAAGAATCAACAGCATCAACTAAATGGAAATCAGAAAAACCTAGACCTCGTAGTCTACGAGAGACCACTCTACGACGCGAACGAGTTTCAGAAAAGAAAACAACATCGAGATTATTGACACGAACTACCCCTAAGATCGACTGGAATGTGATGGACGGCCCAATCCCACGCACATTCCAGGCTAACAACAACTATGAAATCTAGTCATAAGTTGTATTTTTCCAAAATTGACTATTATTGTCACAACGCGAAAATTTTAGCTATGGAGGAATTTTACAATGCTATATTGCATTGGTGCTATAGCCTTTTGCCTTTATGGTCCAACTTGAAATTGTACCTTTAGCGTTATGGTACAATTTCATATTGTACATATACTTTTGTATAAATTCTTTTATGGTACAACTTAAACTTGTATCCTATGTGATGATACAACTTCAAGTTATAAAGTTGTACCATAACATAATGATACAAATTCCTTTATGGTACAATCTAAACTTATACATTTAATGTTAGTACAAATTCAACTTGTACATTAAAGCACCAATACTATATAGCATAGTAGAAGTGCTCATGGATTTGCCAAATATAAACGATGCATTCTAAAGAATACGAGTATAATAACATCACACAAAAACAATCATAACTTCCAAACTACACAAAGAATTTCTAAAACAAGACATTTTAACCAAACGATTCGTTTTAGAAACGACCCAACCGAGGTACTTCAAATTATCATCCATATACTTTAGCAACATGGTTAAACGAAACGTACGTTCAATTACTCAAAGATCAATACTCCAGCAGCAGAGTAAAACCATCGAACTTTTTAATTCACAATCGGCAAGAAATTCAATTACACAATTTTTTCAAGAAGACCCCAAAAAACTGGAAAGATACATTACAGCAAGAGTAACCAATACTTCAAGTTATAGAGTGGACAGAACTTTCTAAATATTAATATACCAAAGGAGGAATTGTCTAACCCCAGAAAAACGGCATTAAATTATGGCTTGACAAGCTTGTTGCTTCTTCCCTGCTGCATAAGCATTCCAAATACTGCTGAAGCATGGTGCTGTCAGTTGCACCTTGTGAAGCCACACCGCATTTCTTTCTAATGCACTAGCTTGAAATACCTTTTCCACAGTCAAGATTTGCATAATAACTATTCTAGTAGCTCAGCCCTAGGCAAAAGGATTGCCTCCCACGGAAGCGACTGAACCTTGTGCAGGGACCGTCCTACAGGGTATGAAAATCCTTAGTCAAGTTTTAACAAGGAAGAGGGCAAAGCATAGAGTAATCAGGATGGGGGAACTTACACCAACTGAGGACTTGGAGTCTGTCCAGGAATATACGACAAGGCACCTGCAGGAAGAAATGTGTCGAGGTTGGAGGAAATACACAGATAGGTTACGCTGTGCATAGGTTCAGCAAAGAATAAAAGCGAGCTTTGGCATAAATGAAACAGCCAAGGACCAATTTTTGCTGGTGGCAACCATAAGTCGCAAGGTCACCAAGCATCTCAGATCTGGTTCACCAAGACGGGGTAATGTATAGACTACAAAGGGTACCAATAAGATTTACCTTGGGGAGCAGCACTAGGTATGTGACTCATGACAGGATCTTGGGGAAACCATGACTGGGATGGATCCACCAGGAATGCTGGTGATATATTGCCATTGGGTAGTGCAGATTGCAACGAAGTCATGTCCAAGAACTGCCACCAGGTTACAAGAAGATGAGTTCATAACTTCATATACAATGGGCCAAATAGGCAAGTTGCCACGTTTGTGTATCAGTAGAAGCTTCTTCAGAAACAATTTCGCAAAAGCGACCACTCCAAACCAATCTTTCTGATTCTTAATTTCTCTCCACTAAGGTCCCACTAAAGAGGATCCAGATATGACAAGGCGCCGTCATCAATCACCACTTTGCAACCATTTGTATTTCTCTTGCAATTTTCGAATCAACAGCTTGGGTAAATTTGAATTTTTCTGTGCATTATTTTAAATAAAAAACCCCTTAAACACCACCAATGCATCTTCTATAAGAACCTGACCAGATACTAACCATTCCACGCCTGCTTCTCCTTAAACATTAAGTTGCAGTTCCTTCAATTTTGAGACGCAAAAACACATCTAACACCTTAGAATATAAAATTTTACAAACTTCTGAGAGGGTAAAAAGAGGAAATCACCAACATTGCTAGATCCAAATGGCAATATGTAGACATACCATATTGTCTGGCACTAAATCTGTATCATATGGAAGCTCAAATGGGTTGCTTGATCTGCTATGAGTTATCTGCGAGATCGTTTGATCCTGGAAGAAGCAAGGAAGCCAATTCGTTAAAAAAGAATTCCTTCATATGGCAAGGGGGAAGCTACTGAAGACAGAGGTTACTGACCATCACAGTGTACACAGGATGAGATGAGCTGTTAGGAGCATGGGGTTGGAAATATGTGTCACCGTCTGTACCATCTTTATCCGGTTGCCCTAAATGCAGATTAAGATCCACCAAAGCATTGTATGCTGGTAGGTTTACTTCACTAAACTGCTGCATGTGCTCAATAGGGAAGGACGCGGTAGAGTTATCGAAGACATTCCATGTCTGCACAGAAGAAAAAGTTGGCAATAACAATGCTGTGAAAGAAGCTTAAGGCTACTGACTAGGCTGATGTAATCAGCAGAGAAAACAAATGGTTGATTGTGATTGACGGCTTACTTGAGAAGTTGAATTATTTTGCAGCTCAGCATTGTGCAAATCATCATGCCAAGGATCCAGTAGAGAGGAAGGCTTTTCAGCACCAACATTTTGGAATGCTTGTGGCTCCATTTGTGTGCTCAGGGATGGGACCTGGTCAAACCTTGCAGCAGCTAGATCCACGCTATTAGTCATTAATGAAGGTGGGTGATTTTCATTCCCTTGTGCAGATGCTGCAGGCTGTATATTATCAAAAGTTGCCCATCCTTCATTTTTAGGAAGTGGGAGTTCTGATGAGATTGCATCAAGGGTAGAAACTGGTTGATTGTCATTGAACCCAGAAAACAAGTCCAATGTTGCAGCTGGAGATGTTTGATGATACTGATGCAAGCTTTTAGATGCTGACTGTAAATGAGGTACAGAAAACAAATCAACAGGAGAGCCAGTAGACGAGACTAACTGGAACAGATCAACAGATGCAGTTCGAGAATAGTCCGGCAACGAAGCAGTTGGGGGTTTGATGGAGCCCAAGCTGTCATGAGTAGCAGAAGAAGGTGGAATTGGAGCAAAGCCATTCTCCTTGTAAAGTACCGCAACTTGCTGAGGTTCTGACTTAACTGATGTTGTGCTGGTATCCGACGGTATGCTTCCCAAGGACATACTTCTCTGAGTTCAAGAAAAAACTGCACGTCAGTCGAACTCTCATATGAAATTATGAACGAATTACCAACTAGTAAAAAAATTGGCCACTCACACACCTTTCCCCTCCTTTTTCAAAATCAAAGAAGAACACTGCCTCAAACCCACAGAATACAGCGAGGCATACACTAAATTAGGGAACGCAGACATTAAAGACAAGCTTTGTCACAGCAATTGGTTAGAACCAACATATCTTATTTCTGTCAAAACGAATGAGACTATCCCAGGTCACCAAAATGTTACTAACCAATCATAGATGGGGAAGCAAAACATTGACATTGTCATGCTCTGATAGATCAGAGAGAAAATGACGAGCTACATAGAAGGAAACCATCCCATCAGGAAAGATGAAAAGAAAAGCTAAATGAAATCTGTACAATTAGGACTAATGGATGCTCAGACATACATAATTCTGATAGAAAACTAAACAAGGCCTAGTGTGCGCCTCAGGGCAGCTACTATAGAAGTTTAGCAAACAACTGAAAATGCTATAAGCCGAAACCCATTTCTAGGAACACCATAGGATCTTATAAATGAAAAAATGAAAAACAAAGCATGATACCACTGATAAGTAACAAGCACATTAGGACATATCACCTGCGGTTGTGTCATCTGGTTTGCGTCTTTCTTCAAGTCAACCTCCGGAAATAAATTTACTGTTTGAAATGGGATACCGTCCCTTAGACTATTTCCAGTAGGCAGACTAGAGGGACTGTTACCACCACTTTCCTTCTGAAAATTTGGAGATCCAATACCAGATCTACCTAGATCAGCACCGCTAGACACTGAGTAGTCCGATAGTCTAGAAACAGATCCTTCATTTGCAAACCCGTCATCTGACATTCTACCACTGGAGCGCGTTGGACTAAAAACAAAATTAGACATATTTCCAGCATTAATGCCTCTATCTGAGCCAGGTCTGCGGGTAAGCGCAGCACCATGTTTCCCATAGCGTCTATCTTCATATTGAAAGTCATAAGGAGGACTTTGAGAAAAAGAATGATAGGAGTTTGCCCGCCTGCCCTCGTCTTCATAACTTCCTATCCTCTGCTAAGATAATTGATAGAGAACCATATTTAACTCACCATCAAAGCATGTAAAAAATTTAGACATGAAATGACAAACAGTAATGGAAAATCACAGAGGTAATGAAAAATAAATAACTCTTCAGGGCCAAAATTCAGGTATGCTTATTCATTGTTCGTAGTGTTCTTCCAGGGAAGAATAATCAAGACAAAAAGTATATGATAGTAAACATCAATGTACACTTTAAAGTATAATGGTAAACATCATTGAAAACTTTGAAATATGATTGTAAAGATCAATGAACACTTTCCGATTTCAAAAAATTGACCGAAATTTCCACCTGCAAGTCCCGAGGAGGCTTATCAGCCGTCTTTGTTCCAGCATACTTCTTATCAACATATACATGTTTTATGAATTCACGCACTCGATCAATATTACTGCAGTAAGAAAGGGTTAATCAATAAATACAGAAGCTCTGAGGGGATCAAGTATGAATATCCTTAAAGGAACATAAGAGATCTTGCACCTGCTTGCAGGTAACCTCTGCCTTTCTTGGTCCCAGTCCGCCAAATATATTTCCTTTGCGCGCTAAATGAAAACAAAGAAATATATAAGACTGATAGCTTCAATATCCTGGAATACGAGAAACCTAGGCAGCACCAGTACCTGATTTCCACCATTTTGAAGTGCCTCAACTTCTTGGGATGTAAACTTAGACATGGATACAGACTTCACACGATGAGTAAACTCACGGCTGCATGAGACAATGCATCAAGATATATGCAAATATATCACACACAGTTCAAAACTCTATACCTTAGGCAAAAAGCAAATTTGTTTCCTTTTTTAGCAGTAAAAGCAAATCTGATGGGAGGAAAGATGATGAATTGTCAGCATTTACTTACAAATCGATCTATAACGACTTAACCATCTGTTATAAGACCACTACAAAATATAAATACATTAGGTGAGAATAAATAAAAAACAGGCACGCAAGCTAAGCTAGCATGAGCTCAAAAAAACCCCAGGCAAGCCAAGCTCAGGCTCCACCTTGGAACCATGAGGTGAGCCACCTTGGCTCATTACATCAGTGAACCAACTACAAGTGTTGGCGATCATTTCAAAGGTCATAAACAACAACCTAAGTTTATTCTTGGTAAAAAATTCAAAGAAAATCAAACTCCTTTGGGTTCTTTCATTAGTGGCGAATTTTTTTGTAACAGAGCTGAAAAGAAGGGGGCTGATGTCACTTCAGCCAATTATGTCAAAATTAATGAGTAAGAGAATCACTCAATTAAGGAAACAATACTCATTTTCTTTAAAACATAAAACCAACACTCCTCACAAACCACAACATAAGGGTATCCAAATTCATCACAGAAGGAATAGCAAACACAAGAGAAAGTAGCAAACTGAAGGAAAATCAGATCATAATACCCATTAAGAACAAAATACCTACTGTATTCCACTACAAGTCATGCAGACAAAAGTCAAGAAGTTGGTACAAACATACTGCGGACCCTGCAAATCCAAAACGAACCAGACAAAAGAACGAATTTAAGTACAGAAAAGAGAAAACAAATGCAATCAAAACAAAATTAATAAGCTCAGCGCAACTACTTAAACAAAAGAGTATACTTACCAAGGAATTGCAATTGATGCATCGGCGATTTGGGGGCAGCTTCAACAACCCTCTGATAATCTTCTCATTACGCTCTTCTTCCCTCCTACTACCCATCATCGACAGTTTTCACAAACAGAAACCAAAAACCCACCTCTCAAATTCCTATCACTCCCCAGAACTCGCAAACCCCGGAGAGAGGGGAAAAAAGAGAGGTAAATGACGAAACAGCTTCGATTCCTCTCTTCACCTCTACTTCCGAGCTCTCCTCTTCCCTCTTCTTTCAAGGAACGAACAAGGAAAAAGAAAACCCCAATCGCAACCAGGAGAAAAGAGGAAGAACAGGAAGAAGATGGGAGATGAATCGAGGGCTTGTGAGTTGGGGTTTTTTGTATTCTGTCCACTTCTTTTTTGAATTTGTTTGTTGTACAATGTTTGAGAAAAAAGTTCTCATTTTTTACAAAAAAGGAGAATGATGGAGTTGAGGTCAAAATGTCCATAGGCCCCTAAATTTCTTTCCTCGCTGTTACATAGTCCTCAGAGCTCTTTTTCGATCAAATTAACACCCAAGAACTATAAGTAATTACTTCTCTCCGATTATTTTTTTTTTAATCAAATGGATGCAACATGCACCCTACCTTTCATTCAAAAACCACTCAGGATTCAGAGTTCTCCTGAACATTATACATAATCCAGCTACACAGCATAGGATCCAAAATCGAAAACAAATGTAAACCTAAAGGTACTAGGTGACCTCAACTAGCAAGAAAGTCTGCACACATATTACCTTCCATACGAGCAATAGAAACATCTCATTGTCTCTTAAGCACCTAAAAAACTCTATCCAAGATGGCTGCATGGCGATGCTTATTAGAATCGGTGCTCCGAAGCAACTGCAAAGCACAAACAGAGTCTAATTCCAATCTAACGTGTCTGTAACCAGCATCCCAAGCTAACGGAAGGCCTTCTACAGCGCCCCTCAACTCCGCCCGGGTGATAGAGCAAATTTCCAGGTTCATAGCAAATTTCATAAGACATCTACCTAAGTGATCTCTCGACAGGCCACCAGCCGCGACATGACCTGTACTGGTGTGAACAGAGCCATCAGTGTTGAGGTTACCCACTCGGGAGGTGGCGGCGTCCAAGAGATCTCCACCTCCATTCTAATGGGCAGATTAGGCCGATGAATGAGCTTGTCCTTGTCCAAGGTTTTTCTGACGATGGTTATCCAAGCCTGAACGCGTTGCAGAAATCCTTCAGTCGTGATGATCTTGCCTGCGAAGACTCGATCATTTCTGGTCCCTAGAGGGACCAGCAGGTAAGGACAAAGTCAAGGCCAGTGTGCTCTCACCTAAGGTTATTCACGATCCAATCCTGCAAATTGGCTCTGAAAAATCGAAGGTATTCAGAAGGTGGGATTAGTTGCATCTAGGTTAACCTAGCAAAGTTATAGTCCCCCAACATATGTGTGACTGTTTCTTGTTCACTCTTGTAAGCTCCACACAGGTTCATAGTCTTCAGCTTCCTCCATTCTCTTTCATTATTAGTGAGTAGTCTCTCTCGCATTGTAAGCCAAAAGAAGTGGCGCACCCTCTCTAGTCCCTACCAACTCTATATTGACTTCCACCTGGTGGCAGTGACATTTTTCTCGTAATCTGTTGCAAACACGTAGACCGTTCGGACACTAAACTTGTCGTTAACTTCCGACCCCCAAGTGGTCACATCCGCGCCCGCTCCCTCAATCGATGGTTGGGTTCCTGCTATCTGCAATAGTATTTCCTCAGGCAAGTACGTAGCCGGTCAAAATCCCACTTATCGTTTTCGACAAAAGCAGCAACAGTGCTTTGGGGCTCGATTGTAGGGCATCCCTCCTTTACGTGGTCGAGCAGTGTCACTCCAAGTTCCACCCAATGGTCATTCCACATGTTGGTTATCTTGTCATTCTTCCAACTCATTAGCATTCTTGCTTCCATTATCAGCCATGCTTTATGCATTCCTCTCCACAACATTGATACTCGGGCTATTGATTTTGCCACAATGACTCCATTCACATTCTTGAAGTACTTAGCTTGGAGTACCTGCATCCACGACTCCTCGGGTATTGTGATAAACAACCAGGTAAGTTTAGCCATAAATGCTAACTTAAACTCATGTGCTTTAGGTGTACCCACTTCATCGTCCCTGTTAGGTTGGAACACCCTGTCCTAGTGCACCAAATGTAGCTTTCTTTGGTTGTCCATCAAGCCCCATATGAAACCATGGGTTCACTTATCTATCTCGTTGTAGATCAAAATTGGCAGGAGCGCGTTGTCTGCATTGCATAGGTGGGGAGAGAGCTGATGATCTACATGGCCAGGGTTGTTGTACCAGTAAGCGAGAGGTTTTTAGCCGCCAACCTGCAAGTTTGTTGTCAATACGATCCAATATGTATTTATATGTTTGTTTTGTTACCCGACCATGCATAACTGGAACCACAAGATAGTGCACGAGGTCCTAGGTCATGGGTATACCCATTTGGCTTGCAATGACCGTACTCTTTTGTCGAGTAGTATTGCTGGAGAAGTACACCACTAACTTCTTTTTACTGACCTGCTATCCTGATGCTTGACTAAACCGATCTAGACATTCCATAATGATGTCACCCTGCTCGGCACTGGCTTCTGCAAACAATATCAAGTCATCTGCGAAGAAGACGTGGGATAGAGCTGGGACCCTAGGGAAGTTTGGATCGACTTCCATCTCCCACTATGCAATGTGTCTTGGATGATGAGGCTTAGCCTTTCCGTACATATAGTGAAAATGTATGGGGAGAGCGGACATCCTTGCCATATTCCTATGGTCAGTGAAAAGGATTTCGTGCAGTTACCATTCCAGAGTACCTACATCGAGGAAGATGTAACACATTCCATAATCACATTAATTAGTTTCAGTGGTTAGTTGATCTCCAGCAGAGTCTTATGGATGAACGTCCAACTCAACCTATCATAGGTTTTAGCAAGGTACACCTTGAGTATCATTTGACCTTTCCTCCCCTTTTCAGACCCATTGAGTGAACCACTTTCTGAACTATGATGATATTGCTCGACATATGCCACCCCGGAACAAAGCTCGTCTAGGTTGGATGGACAAGCTTGCACATTAGGGGCTGGAATCTTTGTACTAAGCACTTGGCCAAAATTTATAGGCAACATTACATAGGCTTACTGGCCTGAAGAACTTCAAAGAATCTGGACTCTCCCACTTCGGGATGAGAACAAGGAGTGTCTCGTTAATAGTGTGAATAAGTTGCAGCTGGCTAAAGCAGGCTGTCACAAACTTGACGACGGATGCACCAACCGTGTCCCAACATTTATGATAAAACAATGGTTGAATCCTTATTTACCTGTTGCTTCAGTGCACTCATGCTTTTCTGGGCTCTCCATACCTCCTCTTCTATTATATCACCTGCAAGAGCTCGATTTGTCGCTTCATTCAGAGCCGGGAAGCCTCCCAAAGTCGGGAAGCTCTTCGCTTCATCCATCTTTCTTCGATTATTATTGTTGTCGTTTGTTGTTCAAGTTTTATCGTCTAAAAAGTATATTTTACATTGAAAGAAGGGATTTAGGTAAAATTCTCATTAAAACATCAAATATAATTTTTTAATTATTGAGAAAAATTACCTATACCAAATATTATAATTTATAATACATCAAATAAATCAATACATTTATAATATATATGGTGACCTCTTCTGTGCACTCACAAAAATGAGTGCATTAACACAAAATGACGAGTGCATATAATGAGTGCATATAAGTCATTGAACTTTGGATTTTATTTGATAGCATTAGTACAATATTATGACATGACATAGGATCACAACTAATCGACGTATTGTCCTAAGTCCTAAACCTTTCAATTTTGAACTCAAACCTGAACCCCAAATTGTGAACCCTAAACGCTAATCCTAAATCACTAAACCTTAAATCCTTCAAATCAAAGTAAATATGGAATTAGTTTGTGAAAATTTGTGGGTTTTCTTGTCCATCATATGACATGTGATGATTGACATCGTTTTGACATGAATCTCCTACTCAGAATGACAATTATGAGGCGAGTGTACATACATATATATATATATATATATAATATAAAATCACAACTAATCAATCCATTACCCTAACCTTTCAATTTTGAATGCCAAACCAAAACCCCAAATTGTAAACCTAAATCCTAACCCTAAACCACTCAAATTAAAGTAAATCTTGAATGATTTTTGTACAAATTCATGTGTTTTTTGTTCATCATACCACAAGTGACGATTGACATCGTTTTCACATGAATTGTCCAAACATAATGATGATTATGAGGAGAGTGCATTGTATGCACCCAAAAAAGTGAGTGCACCGAAGAATCCTTCCTTTGAGAAATTTGAGAACTCGAAAAGGATGGTAGGAAGCACCAATCCATATGTTTTTAAGATGGATCATAGCCATGAATGAGCTTAGAGATCGAAAAGAAACCAATGTCGAATTAGACACCAACTCATGCTAGAAATGCATCATGGCACTAGATGAGGCACTCGACCTCGATCCATTGACACAATACAAACATCCACCCAACAAAGCAATCCCTATGTCTCATGACAAGGACATCCTTCATAGCCCCTACACTAGCCTCCCTAAGACCTAAGTCGCATATCAACGAAGAGGCTAGCAATTCAAAGTATGATGAACTTTAAATTTTCTTTGGGGGTGTGGCATTACTCAAAATTTTCAAATTGAATGTAGAAATGTACACACAAACCACTTTACCCAAATGCATAAACATTCACAAAACATGGTATATAGAATGAAGAACAATCAATATAAACCTCACCCTACATTGTAAATGGGACAATACCCTCATTGGACCAAGCAAGGAGTAGAGAGAGAAAAGTATAACGAAGATACCGGTTTTGTCAAAACCCATGCATCTCGCCTAGTTCCTTTGAGGATTGGCTCCACGAACGGACAAAAAGTGTTAAACGATAGAGCAAGTGTGTCATCTCTTCACCTAAGGTTAGGGGTGTACATGGGTGGGGGGGTCCTGGTTTAGCCATTTTAATCACCCGACCCATGCACTATGGTTTAGAAAATATTAAATCCAAACCCACCCAAAAAACATTTAAACCTTATGGTTTGTTTCTAATGGGGTTGGGTCGAGTTGGTGATATTTTTTAAGTAAAAACCTAACCCAACATATGTTATTATTCTACACCATAAATAACTAATTGAAATTTTAAACGAATAAACCAAGATGAAAGGTATCAAAATGCACAAATGTTGTTTGAGTTTTAATAAAATGTGATTTATTTCAACATATGTCTAGTTTTTTCACAACATTTGTCGAAATAGGCTAAAGAGGTTATAAACGAACGCACCCATAATATGTTATTCTATTAAAATTGTACACAAGAAAAAGGATTACGTGAATCATAGCTATATAAAAAAATGTCTAAACTTTAAGCAAAGAATGTATTAGATTAGGGAGAACATGAGAGGAAAACATGGTGAAATATCTTATTTTCTCATAAGTATGCCTATATACGACATAAATATTTTTTTGGATATGAAGTCATACCAATAGTTGGAACACGGGATGGGTCGGGTTCTACGAGTTTGCGTAATCCAAAATCTTAACCCAACCCAAAAGAGCGTCTTGTACAAAAGAAAACTCTCACCCAACCCTAAACCTTAGTTTTAGCGATAAATACGGGTGGGTTGGGTCGGGTTGTACGGGTGGGTCGGTTTACGGATGTGATTGTTCATCCCTAACTAAGGCAATACCTAAGAGGTTCACCTCTCTTAAGGCAATCCAACTCAACAATGGGGGTGAGAGCCTTCGATGCTAGGTGACATGCCAGAGGCAAGACCATAGTGGCATTGATGTCGTGATGTCATCAATGTATGATGAACTTTAAGGGGTGGTTTGGTTTTGATGATATTTAACTTGATGTATTGTCATCAATGCATGCATAATAATATATGTATATAAGAAACATGGTGTGTTA